GAACTTTCAAGAAAATATAAAAATATTACTCGGTGTGATATAGAGGTTTTTTTGCAATTGTGTAAACCATGTCAACAGAAACAAAAAGGTGTTAAAAAATCAGTAGTGGTTAAGCCTATTATTTCACCGGAATTCAATTCTCGATGTCAGGTTGACCTCATTGATTTTCAGTCACACCCTGATGAAAAATATAAATTTATATTAGTATACCAAGATCACCTTACCAAATTTATAATTCTTAAGCCACTTAAACATAAACGAGCAGAGGAAGTAGCATTTAACCTCATAGGTATTTTTACGCTAATATAGGTGCTCCATCGATCCTACAATCTGATAACGGACGTGCATTTTCAAATAGCATAGTTTCCAACTTAGAAAACAAGTGCCCTAAACTTAAAATTGATTATGGTAAACCAAGGCACAGCCAAAGTCAGGTGAATGTTGACAGAGCAAATCAAGACGACGAGAATATACTCACAAGTCACAAGTCACAAAATGGATGTGAACAGAAAAAAATTCTCACTGGAGTCAAGGATTGAGATTTATTCAATAAATGAAAATTAGGGCCTTACATTCTGGGATTAAGATGTCACCATATGAGGCATTATTTGGTTGTAAAGTCAAGGTTCGGCTTAGCACATAAAATTTACCAAAAGAAGTAGTCTTAGACAATACTTAGAAAACGAAGAACAATTACTAGAAATATTTGAAAAAAATTAACTTCAATATGATGATCCAATACTTCCCAAGAATAGCAATTATTTTAAAAATAATCAAGATAATTCAATTCAAGATACATTTCCTAAGGTCGCGGAGATGCTCCAAATATTTTAGCTGTTGTTATGGAGGTAAACATAAAATAATACATATTATATTATAGTAATTCAACCGTTTATATTTTATGATTTTATGATCATTAAAATATTTTTGCAGGTAACAGTTGATGAGTATTATAGATTAGGGACTARGGAAGGGCTTTTAAAATCTTTAAATTCAAGGTCTCAATATTCCCAATATGCCAAAAAAAATTGAATAACTATTGACCAAGTTCCAAGAGAAAATACATTTGCTTTACGTACAATTGCAACTCAACATTCTACAGGAACTGGACAAGGTTTTATAAAATGCACATGCAAGACGAAGTGTCAATCCAAAAAATGTTTATGTGTAAAGAATAATATTTTATGMAGTTCGAAATGCCATTCATCATCTGTTTRCTGTAATAAATGAACAATAAAMATTATTTTGATTTAACACATTACCTAACATAGTATTGGCATTCTATAAAATTCCTGGAAATTCTATAGATTGCCTAGGCATAATATAAAATAACATTCAAATTTAATACATTGCCAAATAGTCCAAGGAATTCTATAGAATGCCTAGAACATTTATAGAATGCTTATATTTAACACTTTGCCGATAACATATACAATAAACCATGTGAAAACATAATGCGTTATAGTTTTGTAAATAAAGCATGCGTRTAAAAGAGAGAAATAAAAATTAATATTTCTTTAATCTAGAACTTAAAATCACTAACACCACTACCACCACTAAAACCATCACCAACACATAATTCTCGTCCATCGTTTACGCTCTGAGTTTTCACCTTCCGTGGATTTAAATTCCATTTCCATTTCCATATACTATATTTAAATATATCCTTTTTATGTATTTTATTTTATTTTTTTGTATAAATATCAACATAATCGCTTTCTTCCAGTGGTGAACTTTTTTCGTATCTATACCTCATCGTTTCCGTCATCGGATATGCGGGAATACAGATAATGGATTGTTTCGTTTCATCGAAAAATAATAAATAAATAATTCCATCCAGTCTGCTCGTCTCGTGGGGATATAATGAGAAGTTTTTCAATGTAAAAATGTCGTTGGTGTATACGAGGGGATATCGCTAAGGCTTTGATGCACCAAAAATCACCTCTTGATCCCAGAAGACACTTAATTAGACGCACATAAACTGGCTTGAATTAACGATGACAGTAGCAATGAAGGCAATAATCCCTTACTTCAAAGTTTGATCGACCACTTTTACCCAAATGTTAACGGTTATTTTCCAATACTGTTTGTTTGCACACGTATACTCCGCCGCACGCACTCATCTTAATTAAAATCAAACACCCTGTGATGTCCGGTTATGATTGATCCGAAATGATGAAATTAATACCAATCGAAAACAGAAGACTTTAAGTCATTCCATATTATATACACACATATACAATACACCTGCATGTATAATGTATATATATTGCCTATTTGGTGCTTATAAGCTGCATATTATATCTTTATAATATATCAGCATCACTATAACCAATTTGTGTATCGAATTTTCGACTAACCAAAACAGTTTAAATAAATTTTATTAAAAAAATAAGTAACATATATTATAAAGAATAATAGAAAAAAATAAATGTAATTAAGAAATAAAGTAAATTTTAAATTATCAATTGTATATATAGCTTATAGTTTTTATCAGTACTTATATTTAAATTTAAAAAATAATACCTATATTTGATTTAAATAATAGGTAAGAGGCATCATACTAGACAATTTAAAATACATGGAAGGTAATTTGTTATTTTTTAGAGTGCCTTGCTACCTTACATGAAATACGAAAAACGATAATTTATAATAAATATGGCCTTTAACTGATTATATAATATATTATAGGTAATTCGTATGTTGTATAACCATCGGAAAAAATCTTATCAATTTTATTCATCGTCGTTTTATAATGAATAGAACACACGTGTTTATCACCAATTCTGCACTTTTAGACATACACAATAGTATCCACTTATTCAMCTTATTTCCAATAYTTAAAGTTTATCTTTTTTTGGTCTTGTAGCGAGTATTACTCATACTTATCGCCCGACCATACAATACATGTCACTCAGTGAATAAATTCACCTAGACATCTTATTTCCGTTATTTTCTTTTTCCATCCTTGCTCTTATTCTAACATCTATGGGATAATATATTTTTATTATTATTATTATTATTTCGTCTTCCAAAAGGATTATCTTACTATAATGACAAGTAAACATTTTACCGGAAATACAATTCAAATTTTCTTTTAAAATAATACTATACATACTTGAGAGTAAATTTATTTCATTATTATATTTTATTTTGAGTTTTAATCATTATTAAACCAAAAGTACATTAACTTTTTAGTTAATGTTGAAGTCGTAGGT